AACATTCAGGTAACCAGACATTTACTCTATGCAACCTGCAAGAACCACAGGCTAGGGAGAAAGGTGGAACAGCTTAACCAAGAAGATTTWTTTWTTWATTTATTTATGATTAATTCTAAGCAAAGGGTTTTTTKTTTGTTTGTTTTATTTGCCTTGGTAACCTAAGATTTCTGTTTTCTGCAGGCTGCCAATACCAGTATTTCTGTGAATACATTTGACCAGAAACTGATGGGSTCACTATGTTTGAACAGGTAATTCAGGGACGGATTGGCCAAGGTCATTCAGAAAGCAGTGTTGGCAATCTTAACATTAGGCACATGATCAGATTACCATAACTTAATGATTATGGTTTTTTGGGGGAGTTCACCTGCAGGAATTCCCTCAGGAAAAAGCTTTGTGCTCCCACATCTTTCGTCAGGCTTGTGACAAGTTAAAGGTCCATTAATGCCAAGCTTCAGTAGTTCAGGAATCCTCATCTATCTGAGCTTGACGGACTTTCTCTACCAAGGCAATGTGGTTGCTATAACTAGTGCAATTAGTTAGCATAACAATCAACTAATTCCAGGGAGTTATATTTGATTTAGTAGCTAGTGTTGTTATCAGCTTCCCACAGCARCATTCAAAGAGCATTCAAAGCATCCACAATGTGTTCGGAAACCTACCTTGAAAGCTGGAGTGCTAAGGAACTTCAAGAATCTTATTTTGAATAAGTACTCATCTCAACTGCTCTAAATATGGAAGCATCCCCAGCAACAAGACAGCATGGACAGATTTTTTTTCTTTCCCTCCCTAGTAAGGCTTACACCAAAGCTTTAAACAAAAGTACCAAATCCTTGAGAAAAAAGRGCACTAAGGTGCTGAGGAAGGTGCTGAGGTGCTGAGGAAGAGCTGGGGCCCTAAGCGCCTGTACATGACCAGAATAATTGGTGTTTGTCCTTTCCGGTGACTCAACTTGTTTCTCTTCTTTCCCTCAGGCTCCAGTACTCCCTAACCCACTCCAACGTTGGCTTTTTTGAGGTAAGCTGATAGTTTAGGATAGCATGAGTGGTGGCCGTGAAGCAGCCGGCCCTTAGCTGCAGCCCCTCAGCGGGCAGAGCGGCGCGCACGGTCATCGCGCGCAGCACGGAGGGAGAGGTGCTCAGCACAGATGCTCGTAATTACAGCAGGGAACGGGAGCCAAGAGGAGTCTCAGATGCCCCAAACAGTGCGGTTGCAGCTGTGGAGGGGAAAACGCAACCTGCACRGAGAGCCAGGGAATTCTGAGAACAATCAACCCGTTCTGAGAAGCTTAGAACTGCTCTGGTCCTGCTTTAGTATTGAAGATAAATTATCTTACGAGCAAAGGAAATTGGCTGCTTTTGATGAAAATGTTGTCCAAGAACGATGAGCTATTTGCATTTTGTATTTCATTTCCTTTGCATCATTTCAAAGGCTGAAGATCCAGAGGTCGCTTTAACTTGTGACTCTCTTGGGCCAAATGACCTGAAGAGTTGAATGTGAGCCTATAAACTCCATCCAGAACTAGAGCTTGACAATTCCAGCGCTATTGGAAAGTAATCTCTAACTCAATTTTCTTATCTGTGGCAGATATCACTTCTGGAGAACATCCTGTCTTATATTTTACAGACTGAAGTAATCCCATCGGCTAATGGTGAGGCTGCATTTCTAATGACTAGGCACAGGGGACGACTGTAGTAACTTCTGCTGACTTGTGCTGCTTAAGTTACCAATTCTCATTAACTTGAGCAGAAAATGATCATCAACCAGTAAAGCATGGAATGGGGAGACCAGTTTGTAGGGGTATGAAGGCACTTAGTCTCTGGCCCTGTTTTGCAGTGCCATCAGAGAAACCCAGGCAGAAAGGACTCAGAAASTCACCCACCTCTCATTAGCGAAGGTGTTTCTGAGTGTGTTCTGCTATACAAAGCTTATTTAAACCCCTGAAGAGGGAGATATAGCTTTGAGTCAGCCCTCTGTACCACGATGAACTTCATTTTCTCTGGTTAATGGAGTCAGATAGGAATAGGAACAGCTCCTCACAGAATCCCAGACTGGTTGAGGCCGGAAGGGACCTCTAGAGATCATCTAGTCCAACCCCCTGCTCCAGCAGGGACACCCAGAGCACGGGGCACAGGGCGGCATCCAGGCGAGTTTGGAAGATCTCCAGAGAAGGAGACTCCACAGSCTCCCTGGGCAGCCTGTGCCAGGGCTCTGGCACCCTCTTCACCTCATGAAGGCTGGGGCTGCATTAACGCTCCCCTGGGCCATTGGGGTGAAATCAGTGAGCACGCAATGCAAAATTCACCACACATGAAAGGCCATGGTTTAACCCCAACACTGCCAAGAGAGGAACATCGGTAATTGTTCCCCCACTGGTAGATCAGCATCACACCTGCCTCCCAGGGAGGCTTGTGAAGACTAAGGTTAATTATTTTAGATGACTTAGCAGTCTGAGGGTACATTTTTAGCGAAGGGTGGGTATTTAAATYCTTTTACTGCATGCCTAACTCATTGTATTTGTATTTTCTTAAGCTAAATTGTCAAAAGGATTCCCTCTTCCTAATCTGGCCAATGTTACCTTGACAAGACCACACATCACAATTGTAGAGGTGAGATTTTGACACTCTTATGAAATAGTTATTCCTATTTTTATCTTGGGGAGATGGTGGAAGAGGAAGGAGGAAAATGTCTTTTCACCTTCTGATTGCACAGGAAATTGCCTGGATCTGCCATTAGTTAAGTACAGTGGGAAAAAAAAAAAAAGACCCTGAGTGCAAAATGAGAACTGTAATACCAGTAAAATCCCACCAGGAAAAAAAAAATGCTCCTTTCTTTCTTTCAAGGGGGGAGAAAATAAAACTGAGTTATTATACATATGCTCCGAGTGATTAAACACACAGCTTGCTCGGCTTTGCAAGTTCTAACCCAGTGTGAAAACAAACTTGCCTTTTTAAATTTAGTTCGAGCTTGGGTAATCAAATGAAATTACAGCTACCCCTCCATGCACTCCTGCTGAATTCAGTAGAATAGCTGAAATGTAAGAGAGGTGGATTTAATTTCTGTGCACATAGTATGATTAGCTTTTGTTGAAGACTGGTGATAATGGCTGAGGCTATTAGCCAAAGGTAGTTACTGAGCTCCCAAAGAACACCCTCTGCCTGCTGATTATTCTTCTCCAAATCATACAGTATTCTGCACATCTTGCAGCATTCTAGCCATTAGTTTTAAACACTGTGTTGCTCAAAAATTAGAGGGTACAGGGAATTGATGACAAATGAATTTGTAGAAAATGGGTGAGGCAGGTAAACTTCTCCATTTGTCTTCCAACTTCTCAGTCACTTTCTGCTTTCCAGAGACAGCCCCAGACCCTTGCTTGTGATCAAGCACAGAGCACAACTCGGGGAAGGAAGAATTTAATCTTTCTTTGCATCCCACATATCTAGCAGCAGCTCGATTCCCTAACAAAACAGAACCTGGAGACTACTTGCACTTGACAAATATACCAACAGCCCTAAAGGCTAAATATGAACCAATAATTTTGATGGTTCTGTGGGGCCTGTTCCTCACCTCTTCATCAGTAAGTACGAATGGGAGAGGACAACAGAAAAATGCTCTACCCTATCAGTATGATATGGGTTCTCATTAAAAGTTAATTCTACAGGCTCCACTTCCAGTCCAATCTATTGCCTATAGCCAATTAAAAAAAAAAAAAAAAAAAGACACCACATTAGACTGTGATGCTCTCCAGGGGTTCATTGCTCTGTTTGCATTGACAATAAGGGAAAGAAGGAGTTTAGATAAGAAGACTAACTTCTTGATTGATGAAATTAGGAATTAGGTAAAAGTAATCYCGCTTTGGGATGATCCCACACAGCTCAGAGGAGCTTTCCTGGTAGGCTCTGTGATCTTTGGATGTACCTTCTGCTGCTAACATGGTGTAAAGCGGTAGGACCTGAGGCAGAAGATGAGCTTGTTATTACGGGTTTCTGTGCTTTGAACTTCACAGCCGTTTTACTTTCCAGTCTCACCAACTTTCAGTGGATTTTTATGACATTTGACACCAGCCTAGAATTGGAACAGGGGGTGGGAACGCTGTAACGCACAGCATTCCAGTGTCGGCTCTTCTCCCTCAGGGATACCTGTTGATTTCTACCGACGTCCACTACAAACGCTAAAGGAGGAGGAGAGACGGCTTGTGAACCACAAACTTGGGGTCGATCCGRTGACTCAGCCCCACTCTGCCGAGATGTGAAACCCAAACGCTGGCCAGAGCCACCTCGTCCTGCTTAACGGAGCGGGAGTCCCAAGGATCAAGGGATATTTGAGGCTGTGCAGAGACTGAGAGGAGAACACGGGATGCATTTGGCATTATTTATTATGGGTTGATGTGGGTTTTTTTTTTTTAACTGATGTAAAGCTGTGTGGGTTTATTTGGGCAAGATTAATGCCTCTCTTCAAATAAAATCCTGTTTATATGCTTTCAGAAAGGTGCACTTCGTTTTTTTCCCCTCTAAGAGGAGGAAAGACACATTGTCAAAACGCGGCCAGGACAGAGGCTCCGGCTGATCCAGCTCCCGGCCGCGCCGAGGCACTGGGGCCGCACACCCAGCCACGCAGCTTGCCACGGAGCTACGTGGAGGGAAAAAAATARATTAAAACAACAAATGCCGCTGTTTCTTCAGCACAGCCGGTCACAAGGAGGCAGCGAGCGGGGCTGCCAGGAGCTCAGCTCTGCATCCTTGCCGCGTTGGGCAGGGAACCTGGAGGGGGCGACATTCCAATACGAACGTTTCACCGACGTTTTACCGCCGTTTTACTGAACACGGAGGCCGCGGGCAGGGCCGCCGTCTCGGCGCCCGCTGCCGCCAGGGGGCGCGCGCGCACGCGCGGGGCGGAGCCGCCGCCGCTCGCTCCTCCCCGGAGCGCAGCGGAGGAAGTTTGTCCCTCGGCRGCTTCCGTGCGCGCCGGCGCGGTTTGTCCCTCGGCGGGCGCCGTGGGCGCCGTTTCCGTGGTGCGGAGCGCGGCGCGGGACCCGGCGGCGCCATGAGCCGCAGCTACAACGACGAGCTCCAGTACCTGGACAAGCTGGACAAGAACTGCTGGCGCATCAAGAAGGGCTTCGTGCCCAACATGCACGTGCGTGCGGCGCGCCCGGGCGGGGCTGGCGTGTCCCGCGGCGCGGCGCGGCCCGGCCCGGCCCGTGACGGCGCGTGTGTCCCCGCAGGTGGAGGGCGTTTTCTACGTGAACGACCCGCTGGAGAAGCTGATGTTCGAGGAGCTGCGCAACGCGTGCCGCGGCGGAGGTGCGCGGCGGGAGCGGGGGGCCGGGGCCGGCGCCTCGGCCCCAGCTCCTCGGCTCCCTCTGCTCTCCCCTCGCAGGTGCGGGAGGGTTTCTGCCGGCCATGAAGCAGATCGGGAACGTGGCCGCCTTGCCTGGCATCGTGCACGTGAGTYGCTGCTGTTGTGCGGGACTGCCGCCTCCCGCAGGGAAAGGCCCCTGTGCTGTGGCACGGGCTGCCCTGGGATGAGCTCAGGTCCCTGCTCGGCGCGCTGGGAACCCGTCTCTGAGTGAGGAGGAACTGCAAGGCCGGCTTGTAAAAATGATTTGGGAAAAGTGGAAGTAGCTGCCTGTGTCATCAGTTGACACTTAAGTCTTGTCAGCTGTGCTTTTGGCTGCCTGGTTTTCTTGAGCATCTTCTCTACACAACTTGGACTGTCTGTTTGTTGCACTTAAGTGGTCTCTTCCCACCCATGGAAGAGTGGGGAGAGAGAAGAGGAATTAAGGG